CAACAAACCAATGATAACAAATTGAGGAGGCATCTTTTTCAACTATTTTTATAAAGGAAACTGGGGAAAACTTTAGTGACAAAGGAAGAATGAGCCTGGTGAGATGTTCACAACATGTGCAAGGTGTCCTTCCAACTCAGCCCTTTCAGCACAACTAATGGCCTAGGAACCTATAGAGAATGATGCAGAGAGACTCAGAAATTCAGATTTCCCTACACAACAGCATTTTGTTGCTACCTGGGTCCATGGTGCATAACTCAACTCATAGTAGTCTCTCAATGTTGTCTGGAGTCTCCATATATCTCTGGCAAAGGATGAAGCCAGCAGCTATGCTCACACCATAGAGACATCTTTAGGTAGCATTTGTCTTCTTTAGTACCCTTAACTGTATATTTCTATACAGCATTTTTTGAGCAGAGCTCATTAAAAAATAATTGTTTGGACATGTCTTCAGTTTCCTCTTTTTACATGCCACATTGGTGAAAAAGAATAGAGGAGAAAAGGAGGTCTATGAAAATATTCCCCTTTTTTGCAATTGCAGCAAGGAACAGTGAATGAAAAGGAGAGGTAAAAAAAGGAAATGCTTTAATGTTTTGGTTTTTTTCCTATTTTAAAAAAGAAAACTTTAAAAACAGTTAGAAATGAAACATGCACAGCCTCCTGCGCATTGATGCAGCCTGTAGCTACCACCAAGGGTCAAGTGCTTCTTGTCAAGGCAATTTCTAATGCCCAGACCTTTTCGTAACGTCAAGAGGTGCTATTTGCTTAATAAATGTACAAACATGTCGTTAAACCTGTTAGAACACAGCTTCTGCTGTATCTCAGTGAATGAACAGTGGGGAAAGCGGCAATGTTTCTTGGGTAATGTAAGAGCACGGGGTTTGTTGCTGGAGGGAGGGGGCTTGGTGCTTTTCCTAGTGCAACATTGCCAGCAGGGATGCTGATCTCAAAAGTAAACCTTCTTGCCTGCTCATTTAGGAAGGAGCGGACTAGTAATAAAAATGGCAGGAATTTTCAAGCAAATGTTAAAATTGAAAGCCAGTGCACAAAGAGATATGTTTTGTAGCGCAGTAAGAATTCTCTAAACCAGTTAATTACAGAAGTTTTGCAAGAAAAATAGTGTTTATAGCTTATGGTAAGTTGTGTCAGTGTTTATGAAATCCTTTTGGATAGTGTTTTCTACTCATTTTCTCTAATGTTTGCTAAGTCTTAGCATATGTTGTTGTAAATCCAGATAGAGTCACAGTGTGATTGGGGAACTTTGTTTAGCGTGCCACAGTGTTTCTCTGGCATTCAGTTTCTGGTAGCTACTGAGAGAGAGGTCTGGAATGGCTGAGTGCACAGGGCTGGCCATGCTCTAAATGGAAAGTAAATTAGTTTCATGTGAATATATTAAGTCATTTTTTTTAAGAATGTAAAGCCTCCGGGTGACTGAAGGGTGCAGAATGACAAAACTGGGATCTGCGATTTCTGTCTCCAAATATTTTTATTATTCTGTTGAAGTCTTCTCAAATCCAGTAAGTAGGGCAGTGAAAATTAAAGAAGTGATCTTTATTTCAAATCTATACTGGAAAATAAAATCCTGACTATTATAATGATAAGGTTTGTCATTGAAACATGAAAAATAACAGAGCTTGGGGCCTCGTAGGTTAATGATAACTTTCTCAAGAGTTTTGTTCACAATCTCAATAATGATTTCATGTGCTTTATCTTTCACATACATAGATAAAGCCTTTTAATCTTTAATTAACTGATTTGTCTTAATTTCATAGCTGTAGAGTTCTTCGTGGAAGAAGTGAGAATTTCATTATCAGCTATAAGAATACACAAAGCTACATCCTGGGGTTATATAGTAAGTGATCAGAAAGCTCAGATGCTGCGGGTACATGAAGGGTGGATGCGGTAGAGGGATTTTTTTAAATTTAAAAGCAAGTATCTTGACATCGTACTGAGTAAGGCCACTGGCTTTTTTTTTTTCCTCAGGTGATGGGGGATTTTTTGCAGCTGCTGTGCCCTTTCAAGACTCTTTATCCACTTTTTAGCTTCCATAACTCTGCTGGCCTGAGTTTGAAGTCTTCTCTCTGCTTTGTTTCTGCTGAAATGTTTCTGTATGGTTTATTATTGTCAGCTTCATTATTTTGCCCACCATGCTGTTCCTGTTCTCCCTTTTAGCAAGACTGACAATAACAACTTTCTGTAGAGTTTTTCAGCAGAAATTTCTCATCAAATGAAACTTCTCTCAATAAGCACAACCTTTTTTCAACTTATTTTTTAACTAGAAACATGGAAAAAATATAATACTTTTTGTGGTTCTGCATGGAAGCTGTTGGAGACATTTTATAAACCGATAGTTTTCCATTGAATATACCAGTTAATATTTTTACCCCCTTTGAAATTTTTCTAGACAAACAAAACAGTTTTACAGCAAGCACTTGCTCTTCTGCTTACAACCTATTGAAGGTGCCTGGGGGACGCTGGTCTTTTTAATTATTGCTTTATCCTCTCTCACCTTGACCTAACTGTGCCCTGGTAGGGAATGTTTGCCTACCTCTAACTGATTTACAGCAGATGTTAGTGGTAATAAATTATATCCCACTTCCCCCAGCTCCCTTTTTTTTTCTGGAGCTGCTTGAATGTTTTCAAATGAAAAGTCTCTCAACCTTAAAAGGCTTTTGTTTTTTTCCAAAATGCATATTTTGAAGGTTTATGTTTATTTTCTCTTCCCCCTCACCCCCACCCCCAGTTACACTGAAAAGCAAAGGCTGCATTTTATCCCCTTTCTTTATTTTTGCTTTCCTTTTGCTACTGGAAAGAATGGCACTAAGGGGAAAATACAAGAAAAGGAAAGGTAAAAAATACCGTGACAACAGAAGAACTTCTTTGGAAAAAAGTGAATAACTGAAATAGCTCACTGGCAGAGCACATGGAACAAGAAAAAAAAGTTCAACCCTGACATGTTTTAATTTTTCCCTGTTTTTCCACCAGTTCCTTCTTGACATTACCAAGCAACCATTTGGTCCTTGTTTCATGAAGCACATGCTCGGCCAGGCAGATGACTTCATGCCTCTTAAGTCAAACATTTGTTCTACCAGCTCTCTGCACAGATGCAGCTGCCAGATCTCCAACCACAGGAACCAACCTCCATCACCAGCCTCATGCTTCCTAAGAAGTAGCAGGAGAATGACTGGGAACATGAGGGCCCAACTTGAAAGATATTTCCTGAGTCAGAATGAGGCTGGAGACCAGAGGAGAGTTCCTGAGGCAGGGATGCCCCCAAATCCAAATTTTCCACCCCAGTTCTGCTACCAGGCTCCCTGCAGTGTTGCCTGGCCATCACAACCTAACTCCACAGACTAGGTATAAGGTCCAAGCCTGGCCCCTTCCAGGGAATGCTGTAACCAGTGTTGGTTTGCCAGAGCTTCTGTCTGTGACATTATAAACAGAAACACCCTGTAGGTAGGTGTTTCAGCAGAAGGTGCTGAAGGAAGCCTTTTCCTATAGTGCTCCTATTTTGTTCCTAGCAGGGACCTTAATATAATGATACAGGTTAATATTGCATGTGGGACTTACACTAAGACTATTTCAGATGAGCTGATTGCCAATGTCTTAAGTGAGGGCACCAGTTGGTGGATATTATCTCTGTGTCTAATTATGTCCACTGCCAAATTGCAAAGTGAAATTCATGGTACTAATTTTATTTATTTATTTATTTCTATGAAATCCTAGAAGAACCAGAAAATCTGAAGACATGATGTTTTCTTTTTAACTTGCTTTAGGCAGAACTGTCCCAAAAAGTTAATTTTCAGGGAGAAGAAACATTTTTTGAAGTGCACCCTTTCCTTAGGAGTCTGTCACCGCTAAAAAGCAGAGAAGCCTGCAACTGTCTTCCTACAGAAAGGACAGTGAAGTCCCTCCCCATCCTGCAAACATGCAGGTCTTAATTGTGTGTGTGTGTGCGTGCTCATAATCCTATGAATTTAAATTTGGCAACTCTCATGTAAACTTCACTTTATTAATTACATCTGTGGGAGCAAAGGGTCAGCTCTGTGAAATATTATTGCTTCTGCTTACTTTTGTAACTAGCTAAGAGCTTTGCATTAATATTGTAACCAAGTTACACTATATAAAAGAAATAAATTAAGACGCAAGGCACAAAGAGCAAAGTCTATATTCTGAAAACAACCAACCAAACAGGCTTCATCTTAATTTTACCAGGAACTGAAGAGTTTGTTCCTCAGTTCATAGAATCATACAATGGTTTGGGTTGGAAGAGGCCTTAAAGATCTCTTTAGTTCCAGCCCCTCTGCCACGGGACCAAATTCCTTGACAAAATGGCATAAAGAGAGTTTCCAAACTCCCCCTGTTACTTTAAGTAGTCTCTCCCTATAATTTCTAAGGAGGGTATGCGTGTGTGCGTGTCCCCACTGCATCATCCCTGGAGTAAACCATTGCAGCCAGCCATACAAATCTTGTGTTACAGCAAAAGAGAGGTGGAAAAAAACCCAGGTAAAACTAATTCAAGACTACCAGGTAGCCACAGTCACTGGCACACAAGAATTCAGGCAGGTTGCCCTGCTGTTTCAGGGCCCAGGGTGCATCTCCTTCTCAGACGAGGAAAATCATTCACTTTTTAACTAACACATCACTGTGTAGAAATCAAGGGAGGAAAAAATCCTCGCCAGAGCGCTGAGAGAAGGAGAGGGCAGGGTTGATCGTAGGGCTGCTGCTCAGACTTCTGAGCACTCAGGCTTTGGAGCCCCCCGGGCAGCTTGTGTTTCCAGGCGTCTCACATCGCAGATCTGATTTCAGGCTCAGCCACGGGCAGGCAATGGGTTAACGGGGGACGCAGCACGTTAACTGTATCTGTGGAGATTATGGCATGTTTATCCAGTGTTCAGATTTCCTGTCTGAGTGTTTGGATTTCCTGAAATCCCTGCTATCAGCCCAAGTGCTGTCCACTGAGCAGATCGTTTTTTCTCTCTCTCTTTTTTTTTTCTCCCCCCCCCCCCTTTTTTTTTTAACTTTGCTCACATGGTAGGTTTTCCTTCCTGCTCTCTTTCCAGTTGTAGTGCCTGTGTCTCCTCACCGGTCAGGACATTTATGGATGCAGATCAACACTCTTAGACTCCAGAACTCTGAGGATTGCCGTACATTGGATTTCCTTTCTATTATTATTATTTTATTTCAGTTTATTTTATCATTTTGTGGCAAGAAAAGCTGAAGAAACATGCTCTTTTTCAGCTGCCCATGGGAAGATACGTTTTAATCTGAGATGGAATAATGGCCTTAGGCTTGAGGAGCAAATCTGGAATGGGAATTCAGACTGCACACGTCCTGGTGAGTTACAGAGCGTCGGGGCTGAGAGTGGCTGGTAAAGAGCAGCACAGAGACAGGGACAAAGGCTGAGCCCGTCCATTCAATGTGGCTGCGGAGCAAACTGCAAAAAGCAGATGGGTGAAAGCTGAAGACAAAACTTTTTCCAAAAGAAACAACTGAAGTCCATTTCTAGTTCCTAAAAATACACACTGCTCTACATCCCAGATAATGCCTAGGTAGCAAAATGCGTAAGGCCAGACTCTGGGAGTCCTTACTCATGTGAGTAACTTTTACTCTCATAAACAACCTCAGTGGTTCTAAAATGAGGTTGTGTAAGAAAGGAATTGCAGAATAGGGCCCACTTTGTAAATTGCAATGTCTCGCTCTCAGCAAAAATTAATCTGTAAAGTAAAATGAGCATTTTCTGAGTGCCTTTGCATGTTTCCTTGGCCTTTTATGTTTTATTGTTGATCTAGATTTACGTTTTAAGAAGAAACTATGTGCCAACTATTTGTCCTATTGTCTCTTAAATAAGTTTGCAGTGGGAGTGACAACTGTATTCTCATGCAGCAATTTTCCGGGAGGCCAGGAAGGGGCTTTCTGTTGTTGGAGGGGAAATGCTGAGTGCTATGCTGCTCTGAATGAACTGGAAAGCTGCATTCAGACATGGGGCTTGGCTTAGCTAAGGTTTTAGCTTCATTTTTGGATGTGAGAGTTCATGATGGCATTAGGTGGTTTCAGTTAACCACAGTCACAAATGCAATGAGTTGATCAGTCTCTAAATCACTGACTCAGAATTTGAAAAGAAAAAAAATCTTCTTTTCAGGCCTCTTTCAAGCAGATTTCATTGTTGGCACCCATGGAAGTGTTGCTGGAGTAAAATGTGGAAGATAAAGCATCATCACTGTTGCAACTTTTGTTCTGTCCCATAGCTAGAGGCTGTGGTTGTGCTGAACATTCCTGAGCTGCTCATTGGAGCCAGTCCAGGGATTTGATTCTCTAATTGTAAGGGAAAAGTTTGATTCAGACCTTGCTTAGATGTGTGAGGAAACATCTACAGGAAAACCAGCTTTCTACAGTAATTTTACTTTATCTCTGATTTTCCTTAGACTATTTCTTAAGTCCTGAATTCTAGTGTATAATACTGTAAATCGAACAAGAGACTTTAATATTTAAATTTTGGGAGTTTAGTAGGACAGAATACTTTCCTTTTTTTATATACCAATAATGGGAAAGAGCCATTTTCCAAATTCTTTGCAAAGTTTCCAGATCTGAAGTTTTAAACTAATTGCCTGATGTGCCATCTTTCCATACAACCCTTTGTGATCCTGCTGCTCATTTTCAAGGCTTACTTTGATATCAGAGGAAAGTTTACTAGAACGGCCAGACCAAACTCATGTCTTGTCTGCCTGGGAGCCTTCAGGAATTCATTTTAATCATTAACATGGGGCAACACTGAAACTGATGGCATTTTATGCATTGAAAGGTCAGTTCTTCCCATATGTGTGGGTTGTACTCTCACTGTAGTGGATCGACTGCCAGAAATGAAAGGAGGGCCAAGGAATGCCTCACTGAGTGGGACTGGTTTGGTTGCAATTTGGTGGTCTGTGATGCGACCAAACTGGCCGTAGCAGAAATGTGCCCCTCTCAAAGCTGGAAGAAGAGTCAAATGTCACCAATGATCCATGAAATGCAGAAAATACAGAGTACAGACAAGGAGTCAGGGGAGATATAAAGACTTATCTAGGTCTACCCAAATTTCCCATCTTTGAAAATTTTGTTGGCTTTCTGATGAGCAAGATGCTTGGGACTGGTTTGATTGTGAGGTTTTACCCCTTTTCTGCAGGGCTGTCAGAACTTTTCTGGTTTCAGCCAGGTTGGAAATGCTGTGGGAATAGTTTTTCTGGTGGTATTTTGGTATTTCCTCTTCTGCTCACACCCAGAGCAGGAAGTGCAGAAGCACAACCTTCAGCTCATTGTGTACGTGTTTCTTTTTATAAACCTGAATTCTCTGCCCGCCCCCCCCATTTTTTTCTTTTCCCCTGATAGCCCTCACATAGGATTAAGTTTCTGTTCGATTTAGACTGAGACTTTTTTGTCTTTTCACAAAACTATACCAAGCACTAAGTAGTTCCTTAATAATTCCTTAATAAGTGATTATCATATTAGTTTTTAATTATCTAAGTGCTATATTACCAATCAGCTACCCACAGCCAATAATGTTAATGTAACAATATCCCCCAGTAGGTGCTTCTGCTGAACCTTCAGCAGCATGAGGACTAACTGGTCATCAAGACCTACCTACTCAGTTGCCCATGAAAAAATTCTGCAAAAGGTCTTTTTTTTTTTTTTTGTAACCTACCACAAACCATTAAACTCTGTAAGATTAGACTCTTCATGCTTTAATGTTCCTTCCCTCACTCGTTTTCTTTTTCTGCATCAGTGAGGAGGTTCAGCTCATACGCCCTCACTCCATGTGTCCAACTCACTCACCATCACATCTGCCAGTGTTCCTGACTTTCTTGCTGTTGTTGGCAAGTATGGATAAACAATTTTGACAGGTACAGAGTCCTGCAGAGCTAACTTCATACACACAGTGATGTTTCACTGCTGAGATGATAAATGGACCAGAGGAACTAAACCACTTTCCCCAAAAATGTTCCCCACATCCAAAGCTTTTAACCCCTCCTTTTTATGCAGTTTTCCACAAACAGCAAAGGATTTAATTTTGTTTCATACCTGAGAAAGCAGATCACATTTAGATTGCAGCTTTTGCCTGAAGAATCTCTTAGCCACCTTGTATTGTCTTTAATCCGCCATTTTATAAACAAAAATAAAATTAAGATGGATCTTAAAGTTGGCTCGTGGCAAAATATTTATCTCTATTTCCACTTGGGTCCACTCTCAGGACCGCTACATGAACAGCTCTGCCCGTCGTGTTTGGCAACTGTCCCCATGTTGGATTCCGCTTGTAAGACAATTTGCTCTTCAGCATCATAGTCCTCAAAAATGCAAGGAAATGCAAGCAAAAAGAAGTTAATTTACTTCACTAAAACTCTCTGTAATTTAAGAAGATTTAAGTAGAGGCAATGGAATTACTGAGGGGATTTGAGTTCTGTGTTTGTTTTGGGGTGTTTCTTTTTTCATTGCTGTTGGCTCCAAGTCTCTCTCTTGGGCTTTGGGGAGTTGCAGTGCTCCAGGGAGAGGGCACAAGGAGAGGGAGGGAAACAACTATGTGGGCCATTATTTCAGAGACTGATTAGCAGCAGGGCTTCGCCTAGACCACACATTGCTCCTCCCATGTGGCACCCATGAGCCAAGCTCCATCCATGCTGAAGAGAGCAAGATGTGAAACTCCTTGCTCAGTCCCCCTGAACCCCAACGCTGTGTTCAGCCCCGTCACGTGATGCTTTTAGTGTATCCTCCTCTATCTTGACTGGAGTTAACATAATCCATCTGTCTTTGTGAGTCAGCAGAAAAGTATTCGTTTTTTATAAGAGTTAAGGGACATGGGATAGGGCAATGTCAAAGTGCAGAAGTCTTCCCCCAGCTAGGCTCTTGCACATCACACAGAGAGAGAAGGTTGCATTTTCAGTTCCTATTCACCAGACAAGCTGATTTACACTAGCACAGGACGTGGCCCATTGGGGTACGTGGCTACGGCTGCCGAACAAGACTCCTTTCATCAGCAAACAAAAGTGCAAATGGGCATCAACCAGCACACACCGTGATGCAGCAGCTGCTGGCAGTTTGGGAAAACCAAAAGAAAACTCTATTCTCATCAAAAGCAAAATGAGGAAGCCTCCCCTCTCCCCTTCCTCCCCCGACACTACCACCCTGGCTCAAGCGAGTTGATACGTAGGTATTTGTGTGGGGGTTTGTTCTCAGTGGTTAACCACATAACAATTTGAAGCATGTGGCTAAATCAAAAGAAACTGCCTTTAAACATTTGCAGACTGTAATTGTGTTGGAGAGAGTGGAACCCCGGCTGGGGGCTGCTGGCCACCCTGGGGGCTGCGGCAGGAAGCCTTGAACATCCCACAGCAAGGTCCCACGAAGAGGGGGAAAAAGCTGATTTTAAGTCTAAGAACTTCTTGACAATGCTCTGCAGCCAGGGCCAGATGTTCCCAACTCCTGTTTCACGTCTTTACTTTGTGTGCCAGGGCGAAATGCCTGACAGGAAACAAAACAGAGGGAAGAGAGGTGGCAAAAAGAGGGAGAGTGTTCTGTCACACCACTTTCATAAATAAAGCCAGAGGAAAAATAACAAACAAATTGGAGAAGTTTTGCTGTGAAGCCGAGCGTGCCTGAGACTTCTGTGTGATCCCTGGGGGAAGGAGTGAGAGGTGGGTGGTGTGTGTTGGAAAGCCAGGCTCTGGGGGGGAGGGCAAGGAACAACCATGTTTGGGGGTGGTAAAATGCCTCATTAGAGCTCCTCCATCCCTCAAACCTGAATTTGTTGAACAGGGAGGAAAGACTAGAGAGAGATGTGGGATCAAGATGAGCAGTTGTGCTTGTGTAGGCAAAGATTCCAGCACCTGCATGATGCCACATTCTCCCAGAACTGTGGAGCTAATGCTAACATCCAGTTTTAAAGCATTTTGGGCTTAAAGAAGACATAAAACTGAAGATTGCAACATTTCCCCATGGGAGAAGCTGTCCATGAGACATTCTGTAAGTGGTTTGTGACTCTCTAAGGTCATGGGCTTTTAACTGCCATTTGATCCAGTGCATCCTCGGTCCATGATTAGGAAAGCCTTAGTTACACATGGACACAATCCAAAGTGATCATTGCACAAACAAAAGAGGGAAATCAATCTTCTTCACCCAGCTGCAAACCTCACTTATAATTTAGTAGGTAAAAATACCACATCTGTACAATCACCAGAATGGTCCCTGATCTAGGAAAGTAAATGACTTTTGGAGTATGGCCTTAAGGTTGAAAACTCAACCTTATTTGGAGAAAAAGCAAATAAGGCCTTGCCAAATCCTCTATCCTGGTTACAGTGACTGAAGCTGTAGCCTTGTGAGACAGGGATTAGATGGGCTGGGATTGCAGTTAGAAATTTAGCTGTGCCCCAGGGTCCTAGAAGGACCTGCAACTCCAAGCATCCCTCATATCTGTTCTCCAGTCTGGAGAGAAAAGAAATCAACTTTTAGTTAGTGGCTGAACGACATCCCTGGGATTGCCACCTTCTAGCATGGAATTATGATGTAACCACAGGTAAATCACCGCAGGCACTACCTAGACCAGCAGCAGGAGCAGCGTGGCTGGCTCCCACTTACTTTTTGTTCATCTCTGCAGGAGCCAAAAGGGAGCAGGTACATGGGAAATGCAGGGTACATGGTTGATGTCCTCCTGAAAACTACGGTGGAAAGGAGAGGAGGGAGATGTGTCCTGCCACGGCTGGCACAGCTGCATGGCCTTTTTATAGCAGTTGGCCAAATGCCTAGAAAGCAATTTTGTCCTGGCTAGAACTGCCAGACAGAGAGACAGCAGGACATTTCAGGTGCTAGGACAAACCGTATGGTATCTAAATTCAGCATAACACCAAGCCCTTAGCATAATGCTATGATTCTATATAGGAACATAAAACCACCTGAGCCAACGCTTCAGGATCCTGTCTCCAGTAGTGGCTGACACATGTAGGATACAACAATTGAACAGGAAGAACATGTAGAGATATATCCCCAGATTATGGCCCTGGCTTTCCCGGATCTCATCTAGAGGATTTTCTGAGCCAGAGCTCATACTTAGGATGTGCTTGTCCTGCAGATACTGGCAACACGGAGTTGTAAGCTTTTTCCTACTCAAGATAATAGACATTTTAAGTATCAATTTAAAAGAAGGCTTTTATGGGTACACAAGATTGGTAGACAAAGATGGTTAAGCAAATTAATGGAAGGAATTTTGTCCTGAATTTACAGGTATTAAATCATTACTGACAGTGAGGGTACAATCCTAGTTTCCTAGCTGATTTATAGTAGTGTTACAAACAGAATTTTGTGGAAATATTTCAGTTTTATTTGTCAGTAAATAATATTATGCCAGCACTATGGAAATCTAACACTTACTGTATCTAATTTAGCATGGAACTATATTGCTACTTTCCTTATGCATTAAAATTCAAGCAGTTCAGTACTCACACAAATTAATATGCTTACTGATGTAATCATTTACATAATGGCATATTTGTCATAAAATGTGTAAGATTGCATTCTCTGCTCATGTAGGATAGTTGCTCCATCCATCTGATAAGAGGCAGGCTGTAGTTGCACATCCTTTAATAATTATTTCAGCAGGTGTCCTTTTATTCATGTTCGTAATTAGTAGCCAAATACTTAGCAAAGCTTGTCAGGATCAGAAATTCCTACAATTGAGTAGTTGTCTACATTCATGAACAAAGAGGACCTCTACCTTGGTAGAATAATTTCTGAAGATATTTTAAAATAATTAAGGTATTTAACACTAACAAGTACCATAATTCTACATTAAGTGTAGAGCTTTTGAATTATTATCAACCAGTGGGGTATAATTCCAATGTTACATTTGTCCTAAATTAATGTCACAATCTGATTCCAGATTTAATCAATGGTAAGATAGGTCTTAGCCAGAATCCTAGATCTCACAGGTCATTTAAACCTCATAATTTTTATTTCCTGTGTTTATGAATTTGGGGTTGAGAAGGAGCTATCATATTGCACCATTGACCAGGATGAGGTTAAAATCGACTGTCCAAGATGATCTATAACTGGTATTTGTTCTCACTACCTAGACAAATGGGATTTGGTTCAGTGGAAACATATTTCCTTACTTTTGAGAATATTAGACTTAAAGGGCCTCAGTAGCACAGGAACAAGGATAAAAAGGTGACTGTAAGTCATGTGCTGGAGCCATACAACTGCCTACCTGACACCTGGTCTGAATTACAGAAATCTCTAGATGGTTGAGATTTATGTTTTTCTTCACAGAGTTCCTTGGAAGCTCAGAACAGTAATTATGGTGTTTCCCCCATAGGGTGGTATATACATGTCTGCACAGGCTATATCACAAACTCCTACGCTTCATCCCTTCCATTGCCTTTGAGCACAGAGAACTGCCTGGCTGTAAGGCTCCTCTTCAGCCAGAAACATCCTTCCCCCAAGGATCATTTCTAACACTAATTCTGCCCTTTTTAAGGTTTCCCAAACAGACTAACCTCTAAGCATCTCCTTCTCAAGTTTGGGGTGTGCAATAGGCTCATGTCCTGTGAGTCACATCAACAGTGTCCTAAGCAAAGCCCTCCAATAGCTACAACTTGAGCAAGAGAGTTAGACTTAGAAGTAAATTCCTGACATAGATTTACACCATTAGATTAGGAACAAGAGGGAACATGACCCCAACCAGTAAGATCAGGTTTAGGCTGACCCTAAGGAAAAAAAGGAGCCTTAGACAACACTTTTCCATGATGTTGGTGCTGAAAAACACCTTTTAATTTGAGGGAACCTTATCTGCGTTGTGATTTACATCCTGGGAGAAAAAAGGTAGCTTATATCATGGAAATTCATACTATTTAAATGGAATTTAAATAATGTGTTATTGAGAACTCTGCAATATCTACATCCTGTCTCTCTGAGTGAGATTGAAGTAATTGCGCTCTGCGTGTGCATGTGTCCCCCTGAGACTTTGACACCCCCCCCAACCAAGACAGGTGGAGGAACAGAGGACTCAAGAGCTCCTACACACTTTGTAAAAACAGGTAGACTGCTAGAAGGAAAAAATAATGCTTGAAACCTCTAACTAACTCTTCCCCAAGGAAAAGCCACAACTACTGAGAGACAAAAAGAGAATTTCCACAGGAGTGCAGTGCTATGTTCACCACAACCCAGGAGAAAAACTTCCACAAGCATTTGCCCCTCCAGGCTGTCTACATGGGGCTTCAGAGTTCCCAAACCTTCTTGGTGTTCATGCAAACCTGGGTATGCCAGTGTGGCTTTAGGAGCAACAACATTTAGGTGAAATACACCTGTTGTTATTTATCTGAGTGCTTAAATTCTCTCTCCTTAGGAGAAACACCTTCTTACCATTAAACAGGCCATTAAACCACCATGTTAATGCAAAAAAGCATTTCCTGGGAATAATAATATCCTGACAGTAGTATTGCTTGCACACTAGTGCTGGTTGCTAGTACAGTGGCAACATTTTGCTTAAACAAGTGATACGAGGAAAGAATCCTTTTTGCTAAAGCTGGACATTGTAGGTAAAAGCTTAAATCAGTAACTTTCAAAAGCTGGTTGCCTAAAATTCAGAATGTTAGCTCATAACAAAGTCCTGGGTAGACTATTTCAATGTCTTTTTGAGAGTGAGGTCAGTTATTTCAGTTCACTAATTAGGGTTTTGGTAGACAAGAGTTTAGTGCTTCCTCTGGAGTTTCCCAGTGCAGGACAATGTAAATCCATCCTGAGCTGCAGAACATTTGTTTTTATAATTCAAGGCCTGTTCTAAATAGACATCATCAGCCGGGCCAGGCTGTTGAAGACAAGTCAATTTGCATCTTGCAGAAAAAGACTGGGCTCCCTTCAGAAAGTGAACATAGATGAGAAAGAAACTGATATACCCAGAAAAGACAGGTCAGTGCTTTCGCTCCTTAGCACCTCCAGTCACCTGCAACATAAATGAGTTTACCAGGTTAAGCAGGAGATGAGTGGTGGTCACAAACACTAGAACAGAGCAGTATCACCCAGCTCCTACTCCAGAGGCAAACTGCAGAGGGTTTTGCTCTGTTTCCTACAGATATAATGCAAGGAAGGAGGAAGGATTACAGTGACCAGGCAGCATCTGTGTGAACACTGACAACACCCTCCAGTCTCGACAGTAGTTATCATGAGAAAATATGTTTCTGCTTTTTCCTTTCTTGTGCATGATAGAAGCAAACAAAATATTTGTTTCCTGAAAAGGAAATAGGTTTATTCTGGAATGTGCTGGGCAGTTCAGGTTCTTCTAAGTACTGAAGGATATATATGTGGGATTTCAACATTTTTAACTCCTCCCAGGATATTTGTGCAATATTAGTTTTGACAGTTACTGCACGGTTTTTGCAGCAAACGGTAGACCTGATGTAAGGAAAGCTGGCCTCATTTGTGCTGTTAATGTAGTCTTTCTTAGAAGCAGAAGCTATTTGCAAGATCATAACTTCCCTCACAGACACTATTTTTAAGTGGATAAGAGTTCTCTCAGAGGAATAATAGTCTTACTTCTGTTCACATCTGCGCAGTATTCTCTTGATCAGGAGATCAAGAGAAAGAGGATCTGAACAACTGCTTCTCTAACTAATAATGAACAGAGAGCTGTGCAGTAAATCATAACGTGCAATGAAATAAAAAACAAAATTTGGCTGGAGATTAATGGCTGGAATGGGACTTATTGAATTAAATTGGATCAGATGTTCCCTGGAAAAAACTCTGAGATAGATTCACAATGCTCTATGGTATTGGTTTTGTTTTTCACAAAGGAAGATTTAACTCGAATGTTTTGTAACTACTAACAATTTCTAGGCTCTGCTGAGTGGTCTTAGGGGCTTGTGGGAGAGGACAGGCACTGGCTGGTTGGGAACTGTGGTCCCAACAGGCAGTGAAGGCGACTGAACACAGAGCCTCCCCAATACAGAGTGCCACAAACTTCTCAAGTGTTACAGGGGGCATTGCATTTTTACAGTATACGGAGGGCTGACTTCAGGTCCCACGTTCAGGGGCAGATTCATGATTACAGGTCTGCTACAGAGACAGACAACCCCAAGGCTGTGCTCACAGTCCAACTGCACCTCTTGTGTGTCCTGTTAGGTGGTTTAGGTGCCTCCTTCCTACTGTGTCTTCTCCCTTTAACCCACTTTTAAGTGTCCAGCCTTCCAGATGTTGTCTAATGAGACATATGGGCAGCTGACTCGGGCTTTTGAATTTTCCCAGGGATAAGGCACTCCAAACCTACCCTTGGCTTGGTATTTCAGTGCCAGATTTGCTTGTGACTCCAACTTAAGCAGCAAAACATTTGAACTTCAATCACTGCTCACTGAAGAAACCAACCTAAAACTGTAAACCAGTGATGGGGACTGACACCTCCCGTTGGTGCTGGTGGTTTTTCTAATCAGAGATGTCTCTTATCTTGTCAAGATCCAGGCTCAGGTCATTAATATAACAGAGGAAGGAAACCAAGGCTGCATAAATTGTCACTGATTGTGCTAGAGACACCAAAAGTCTTTCCTCTTTAATTAATTTGCTGAACTGCAAGTGAAACAGACCCACAATCCAACAGACCAAAAGGCCCACCTTGGTAGGTGTGATACTGAAGGGAATGCATGCACCTGCCCCTCACCTGCTCTCAGGCATCTGGCAGATCTGCAGTGCTGGGTTTTGTGACTTTGCCCTATTAACTCAGGTTCCTTATGCTTTTGTGAAAAACGGACTTAACAACAGTTGCCTAAAGCCAGAAAAAGAGGAGCAAGACTACGTTATTAAAACCCAGAATGCAATACCATTTTAAAATTCATCAAAGTGCTTAGAGGAAATTCTCTAGAGACTGGGGACTTAGTCATCCAGGTTTTTCCAGCTCATTTCGATAATTGCCCCTTGAAATAGTTGTCTTTCTTTTTTTTTTTTTTTCTCTTTTTCTAACACTACCACTTGGTAAGTATTCACTGAGCAGGCAGCTCAGCTCCACAGCTGCAGAAGGTCAAAAGAAACCTCAAGATTTGCACCATGCACATCTCTACTTTCTATAACATGAGCCAACCACATCCAAGTACATACAAAATATTCATCTCACTGTCACTTGTAGAGATATTAGCAACACTTTAGCTAGTTTAACTAATTAATGTACTGGTAAAATTAATTTATTTATTAAGTGATTTATTAAAAGAAAAGGTGGTGTTTAGAGACACTAATGTGTGAGTTATTCAGTATTTTTAACTACCTTCAGGCCTGAAGACACAGTCTCAATACTTTCTTACCTTCTTGAAAACTATATGATCTGATTGCTTCTGTCTCTGTATAAATTCATACTGTCACCAAGACAGGCAGCCTAAGTACTGTCACATGAACTTGAGTGGGAACCTGATACAACTGAAACTGAAAAAAGAAGTTATTTTTCAGCTGTGTCATTCCATTGGTAAAAACATAAAGCTTACATTACAACATATAGTTTTATTGTGGGGTTTCTGTGCAACTTCTACCCAAGAAAATCTAAAGATTAGCACAACTTCCCATTATATTGCCACTGGAAAATATGTCAGCATTCATAGTAGTGCACCAATAGGGACTTTTTCCTGGGCTTTTCCCTTAAAAGTTTTGGGATTTTTTTTTTTAAATTTGTTTTCTTCCTCCTAATATCTCTTACTGACTGTAGAATTAGAGGTACAGTCTAGTATCTGCCCATACAGCCTTATATCTGAACCTTCTGGTGGGGTTCAGGCAGAAATAAGAAGGCCCTGCTGCAATGAACTTAGATGCAGCATCTTTGGGGTAGGTGTCTGTCTCTGGGCTCAGCACTCTCTCTCTTTTAGTCAGCAAAATGAAAGAAGCAGTTTAGGCTGTGATTCATCTGACATTGTAGACATCTACTTTAGTACCTCTGTTTTAAACAGCTACTTCTGCAGGATGAGGTGAGCTGCACCCTATTTTCACTTGTCTGTATTTACTGTATCAACAGTAACAGTAAAAGGAGCCTGGAGTGAGCAGCCCAGGCAAAGATACTTTGTCAGATATACCCCACTTTTTACAGACTAAAAGTTGAGTGAGAACTCACTAGAGGTAAAGAATCCCATTTACAGGGACTGAGTTTGGATCAAGTTGTTAAAGCTCTGTTCTGTCACTTACTTTCAAGTTAATCTCATTTTTCCATGTAGACAGAAATCACAGAATCACAGAATAACCCATGTAGGAAGGGACACACGAGGATCATTGAGTCCAGCCCTTAGCCCTTCCTGGGACAATCTCAAGAGTCACACCATGTGCCCGAGAGTATCATCCCAACACTTCTTGAACTCTGCCAGGCTTGGTGCTGTGACCACTTCCCTGGGGAACCTGTTCCAGTGCCCAACCACCTTCTGGGTGAAGAACCTTTTTTTCTAGCATCCAGCCTAACCCCCCTTACACAACTTAAGGCCATTGATTTCAAAGAGAAAATGATCCATGTTCATGGATCTGGGCATGAGTCACTATATGGGTAGATAAAGACACAAAGCACAAAAGAAGAGAATACTTAGGAACATCTTTCTATGCCTGTATTGGGGTTGCTATGTGCCTTGTATTTGAGGAAATTCTGTACAGATGCTTTGATAGTTCTGCACTCAGCTGAAGGACAGGATGGTTAGAAGTATTATTGAGCCAAAATAAATGACATTTTCAGAGGGCTGCTGCTAAGTAGAAGACTGGTACTGCTTGGCAGAAGGGGAAGTCATGAAAAATACAACACTTTGAAGGGCAAAGCAGTACCAAGACAAGAGGGGTTGGCAGAAGGCACCGTGGTGCCATCCTTGTGATCAAAGGCTGGCCCTCTACTTGAGACATCAGACTGGACACAAGCAGAAGTCACAAACTGGAGCTTAACGGTCTTGTCTTCAGTCTGATGTAACCATCTTACAAATATATATGAAATATATTAATTTCTGTGAGGTCTTCAAACACAAGGACAGTGCATGACCTCATTAGTACCTGACTAATCAATGAAGGCTGGAAGCAGGAGGAATGCTCTTTACTTTGCTCGGGAGCTGCCGATGTAGCAGGAAGGAAGCACATGGAAAGTTCAGATGCATCTGACTTTTTGTGCAGACAGAAGTTGATCTTTAAACCTGGCTATACCAGGTTTAGTTTCTAATTTTAATACTTACTCTCTCCTAAAGTCACAGCCAGCAAATGGCTGATCTTGAATTCAGCCCAAAATCAGTGGCTATTGAGAATGAGTGGGGGCAGTGACAAGAGGGGTTGATGTTGCATTCAGATTATATTATTAATCTGTAATCTATATACCATGCACAGGGCAGTTTGCTATATACTATGTACTGAGTAAATAATTAAGCAGCAACTAACTGTACAGAGAAGGTGGGAAGTGCTCTTGTTTGTTATTAGCCCCTCACAGTCTTCAGAAATGGATTATAAGTTACTCAGAATCTTGGGCTATGGATGGCAACCTTGTCATCAAATATAAAAAAATACCCTTGATGAGATCAGTGAAAGCTCTCCAGAGGTCTGAAGCTGGGCAGCAGACACTCTGATTACCTGCTGCCTCCACAAAATACAAATTCTTCCCTGAGCCCAAGAAACAGCTGATGGATATAGTCGGAAGTGATAAAAAGGTCACTTAAGTGGATACAAGGAGATTTAACTCATAACACCATCATCCTGAAGCCCTTACACAAATAACAAAAGACAGGCTTCAAAAACTAGAGGGTCCTTCAGCCTAAAGACTTACACAAATCTTTGTCATATATCTGAGTCCTAAAGAAAATTCACCTCTGAATGAGACTGCAGAAATCTCCCAAACAAGCACCCTTAGGCCCTCTGGCCCTCTATAGCAACGTGCTGTCACATCGTGTGGTGGTGATATAGTACAAAACTGTGGAATTATTTTAGAATTATCATGTTTTGCAGCATGAATTCCTAAACCACACTGTCCAGTGCAACTATTCCATAGCTCTTGCACTGCCCATCCATGATTATTTCATAATCATGTGGCAATCATATCAGATGAGGATGGAGAATTAATTTCCATTCTAACAGTCCGTTTCCTAAAACTAGGTTCTTTTCTATGCAGTTGCTATTTCTAAAAACGCCATCCAAGCAAAGTTCTGAATTTTTCAGTTGATTTTCCATACATATTCTAACGTGGATATTTCAAGATGAATAGAAGAAATCTCCTACTTTGCCAATATATTTAAAAGTTCGGTGGAATGACCTCAGGATTAATAACCTGACATCAATCCAGTGTAAAACACTGGAATGGCTAATTCCAGGCACTATTAATAAAGAATCAGAGAAAAGTAATGCAATTCATGCCAATCAGGATGGAATTAAGTAAAATATATTTTATTTCAAGAAAGCTATCTTGATATTTTTTGAGGTTTTAAATTTTTCAGGGAAAAAATCTATACTACTGATGTAATACTTATAAACTTTTGTAGCACTCTTGGAACTAAACAAAAATTTGATTAAGAAACTAGAATTATCTAAAATCATCAATGTAATGATTGAATGGATTAAAATCTGAGCAATTTACATTCTTAAAAACCCTTATAAATAGGGACTCATCACCAAGAGGATGTCAGTCAGCTCTTCAGGGTCAATTCTGGGCTCTGTGCTGGGTTTGTACAAGTCAGTAATAAGTTTTCCATTATTGTTTTCTTTCAGGATTTAGCCCATGTTTATAAGCATGCTAATATTTTGATAGTGTATTTTTATGGAAGCACTGAAAACCCATACAGCTAATGTATGAGGTCAGGACAGAGCTTCTGTTGCTTGAGACGTACTAAAATCAAGACCACAGACAAACATCCTCAGATTTGCTTCACTGAAGTTTGTTAGACCACATTGTAATAGTGTTATCCAAATCATGGATTAGGACAAAGCCAAAGAACATATGTTTGTCACATCCTGTTTGGATGATACCAGCATAGACACAAACAGAACAAGCAGATTCTGGCACAAAATCAAAGACATTTTTTTTTAAACTCACAGTTGTTAAAGAACATGTCAATTATCACATGGACTGAGTAATTAAATTCTATATTTTGCCCATGAAAATATCTTTAATAGCCTTTGCAAAATGTCATTTTCAAAGACAATCTTTAAATTTGTAAGACCTGCTTTTCAGCAGAACATAGAGCAAAGATTTGATTCACAGCAGTTCAAATAACAGCTTATTTTTTTCATTTGTAGGAACTAAGTTTTTTCTACCTGCTTTATTTTAAAGCTTCTTGGGATATAAAAGCTTTCTGCTCAGTCATTGGCTGTAAATTGCAGAATGAAGCACTAACCTACAGCATTTCCAAATGAAGTAGTCTGTTTATACAGAAAGCACAAGAGCTATAATTACTACATGATCACATTTGTATATCAAGGTCAGATTTATGTGATTCACGCTATTGTTTGGACATAAAGGGAGTTGATTTTTAGCATGGTGGTGCACAACTACTATTATTGTTATATCACTGACAGTAGAAACAATATTAACTTTTGCTCATTTGAGTTTTTCTAGTTAGGTTAACTACAGCTCAGGCATGTTAGAAAACTGGTTGGTTAGTATTTGCTCTAAAATATTCACTATATTTGCAAAATATGTATTTATATTACTACTGTCCAGGTTGTATATTCTATTATGAAAGAAAAAAAAATAAACAAAACCTCCAAAATAAAAAACAAATTAAGTCATTAAATGATTTATGCATGAAATCACAGAGAGTTTAAGCAATATCTAATGCAGGTAATTAAATAGTGTACAAAATATTTCCTGATATTTTCTTCTCTGCAAAATCCCTGAATAAGATTTTCTTCTTGACTACTACCAAATATATTGGTAAATTTTATATTCTGTTACTGAGAATCCATTGTCTCTCCATACTACTTAACCAGTTCTAAAAGTTTAAAAATATAGGGATTCAATTCATTATACTTATTAGTTAAGCATTAGAATTAGTCAAGCACTTAGATTGTACCAATTAATTCAATATAATTGTATATATTTATAATCAGGCACAAGAAAAAATGCTTTCCTAATGGAATCAGCTATTGTATTATTGTACTGAATTAAATTGCCACCCAGCTGCCATTAGTGTCAACCTGTTCTTAGTTAGACCCCCTTCTTACTGAAACCCCAACTAGTCTTTCTCTTTTTAGGTGTAGGTGTCCCTGGGTAAAAGGCAATCATATTTCTCTGGTTTTCATTGTTCTCTGTCTCTTCTGGGCTTTTATATTTCATATTCACTCCTTGCTCCCACTTTCTCCCACTCACATACTGTCATAGGTAAGGATTTTACATAAACCTGATAGTATTATCTTCACATTGCAAAGTAGAGTTGGGAAGCATTGGTTTTCTTTTTTTGGAGGGTGAGAAATAGAGTCAAAATGCCATCTTGACGCAGCCTAAATTCTACTACTGTCTTTAGGTCAAGAGTTTCATAAAAGCTGTACTTAGCCTCAAAAGACAAATCACTCACTTGGGCATAAGGTTTGAGGAATTTGCCATTTGAATGGTGCCCTAATAAATTGTCCAAAGGTCACAGATTCAGTGTTGAACCCACATGAGCACATTCACCACCTTTTCTCTCTCTAGGAGAGCCGCATATGTTTCCTTCTCAGTGCTGTTTCTCACCAATCAATGATGATAAATTTATAAATATTTTTCTAGATTTCTTTGATATTTCATTTATTTGCTGGTTGCTGTTGTACCAAGAGGCCCAAAAATGAATAGGAGACGTAGAAAGGGAATACAGTCATCCTAAACCACTGAGATCTAACCAAAAATGTTGATAACTCTGCTTATAGCAAATGAAAAATTAAATAATATTCAGTAGATTCTTATAGCAGATGTAAGAGATTCTGTGACTTTTTAGACTTACGAAAAATAAATTGCCATCAATTCAAAATGTAAATCATAGTTACTCGTCAACTTAGGTCAGCGTCCAATTTAGAAAGCAGTGAGCCATTATATATATTTTATTTCTTGCTTTGATTTGAATAGTATAAACCTATGATGATGAAGGTGATTTTTTTGCCTAAGGAGATGGATAATATAATTAAAAGAAAGATGTGTGCTGTAAAATTAAACAATTTTAAGCGGACATGTCATCATGGGTTGAATCAGATCCAGGGTTGCCAGTGGCTATGGGTTTGCTGTAAGATGGTGGTACTCAGCTGTCTGTCAGGGGAGGCCCTTCCCAGTTCACAAAAAAAAACAGTGCCATGCCCAGGCCTTCTTCTAACAACTTTTCTCATGCATGTAACACAACATTCAGGCATAATGTTCTTGGTTTAAGGTAGATACTTCTCCTCTTGCATACTTGACTTCAAATCAAAGGACTCACCTCTTCCTTAGGAGCAGAGCCCATAACCATTTCTTCTCCTGTGCTGCCAAGCTGGTGGCATACCTGGTAGAATCTCAGATCCTTTCCAGCCAGTATGTAAAAATCTGAAATCTGCTGGTTAAAGAGCTGCCTAGCCTTCCTAATAACAAAAAAGCTCTTGACAACATCACTTGAAAGTATCATAAAGGCTCAGAAACGGAAAGGAAAAATGAGATAGTAACATCCCATCCAAAAGTCTTATGTTGCAATTTTTAATTGAATCTCATGTGTCTTAGAGACAGGGATTATTCTGTTATTCTTAATGTTGAGGATTGGCAAATCTCCAGACCCACATGACATATCTGGAAACACCAAACAAACAGGACAAAACCCATAAACAAACTACAGCAGTCTCTGGGGAAATAGGTCAACAGGCCTAACCAGCCTTCTCTTAGACAGAAGGTTAAAAAAAAAAAAGACTTACAGAGGAGGAAATGTGCTTTTCCTCATGGAATCAAGTAATCAAGTGATGTGCTCAAGTGAAAATGGGCAGACTGGTTAAGCAAAGGGTGTGATCTGGGAATGGCCTCCCACTCCCCCATGGCCTTAGCTCCTCTGTTTGATCCCAATCTCATCCTTATGGGTCCTTGTCACATCTCCCATTCTGCCGGCTTACCCAGTCCACATCTCTCTGTCTCATGTGGTTTGTCCCAGACTCCTTGCTTTATCAACTCATGGCAATGTCTTCTGTGTAGCATTCTCCTTCCCAGCACCAATATATGGCCCCCAAACCCTGTCAATGTTTCTTCTGCCTTGTCCTTTTGGACCAAACATGGAGATCAGCCCAGAAGGGCTCAAAGTGAAAGGTATGTGCCAGTTCTACCTACCTGTCTGAGGCTCCGCAGTATCTCTAACACCTTCCTTCCCCTAGAGCAACACAATGCTTAACCTGGAAAGAGTACACAATATAATAGCAGAGAAGTCTGATGAAAAACTGCAAAACCATTTTTCCATGGTGTGCTATGACTGTCCCCCCACACCCTCCTTCCCTCTCTTACACGCAGGATTGCTCCCCGTCAGAACACTTCTTGCTCCCAGTCTCTTTATCCTTCAAATCTTATCTCCATCTTCCAAAAAAGATCAGTCTGGTGCATACACCTGACATGGAAATTTTCAGCCTGAATGGTTAGACTGAAGTTATATCTGAAAACAGGGTCTTCTGAAGTGTCAGACAACTTGGGCAGATGATGTTACCAGCGCTGTACTCAGTGCAGCTGAGTGAGTAGTTGCCACATTGAGTTAGACAGAGAGTTTTCCCAGCCAGCTAAATGAAACTCTCCTGTAGCAATTTTTAATAAGGTGTTATTTTTCAGGGGATTTCTATTGGATCTCATTACCACAATGAAATTCAAAATATCAAATTCAGTGATCAAAAAATTGCCATCACTGAAGGATTAACAGACATTGTTTCATACTGACTGTTTGAGTAAGTGACCTTGTCAGTCCCGTAGTTTGGTCAGTTTTACTTCCTTGATCTTTTCTCCTCATCTAGGTAGGTTTCTGGTTGTGACAGATGAGACATGAGATCTTCAGCATCCAGGCTTTCAAGCTTTTCTTCAAGAGATTCACTATGGAATCGGTAAGAAAGACAAAAGACATAAACATAAATGACCAGATTAAAGAGTAAAAAGCAGACCACAGAATCTATGAAAAATAAGCCCAGAAGACACTGATTTTATCAATTGTAATACCTGCAAGTGGGATTTTTCTCTGCTTAATGCCACTTTGGACATTACTACAGTGCGTGTTTTTTAGAAAATGTCTAAATTACTGATCCTTCCAAGGATCAAAAATTCCAATAAAGCAGTAAATACTTACAAAACATTGATTACCTGAGCACGTACTGAAACAAACACATTTATTACATATTTTGCTTTGCTGTAATAGATTTCAAAGCTGGATAATGGGCACAGGAAATAAAAAGGACACTCCTTTCAGCTCATCTAGATCTAGTAACTGATGTTGTTTTAACATTGAAAACAAGAAATTTCTGAGATCAGCCTGAAAAATCTATGGCAAGATTTGTGCGGGGGCTTGAAAAGAGGAGGGACTCTCTTTGCATGATATAAAGTCCTGAATAGCACACAGTTGTCTAAATATGCTTTTGTTTATTCAGTCTCTGGATGGTGAGTGCTCTTGTTTTAAAGTTTCCACTGTGTTTCACTGAACCACTAAAAGCTACATTTGGATTGCCTAACTTGAACCACAGCACTGATGGTTAAGGCTGCAGTGTTCTTTGTACCTGGTGCACTGGCTGGAGCTGCCCTGGCACAGGTCACTGCTCCCCGTGTGACCATCACAACGCTGTGGGACTTTCATCTTTTCTTCCTCCCTGGGGGAATTAGTTGACCATATTGCACTCCAGACCAGCCAAGAGGGTGAATCACTGCTGCTGATCTTTCTAAAAACTGAATAAATCCTCCTTTGGTGCATTTGCTTTGTCACATGGCTACACATATTTTTCCTTTTTAAGTCCATGATGTCTTAAATAAGCAAAAGTTCAGAAGGCAAACAATCATCTTTGAAAAAGCATGAAGTTCTTAAGCTGGACATTCTTATTTGATTTTGAAATAGCACTTACATTTTTACGCTCCTAGATTTTCTTGGAGAAATAAAACACAACCACCACCAAGAAAATAAGTAGTGTTAAGTTCCCTGAAATCAATTAAACTCAGTTTCATTTCATACTTTTTGTCTTGACTGCCGCTCCTGAGGAGGTGCAAACCATCACTGAAACTTTTCCCATGGCTGGGACACTTAGAGGATCTTTCTCCCACACTGATCATCTTGATAAAGAACAAGATGATGGTGAGCCTTTCCTATCCTCAGAGGCAAGAAACAACTTCTTCGTCTGCTCATTTCTATTTCCCACAACACTTTTAGGAACCAAAGGATTCTGACATTTTTTCTACCCTCCTTTTAAATCTTATGGGATGAGCATTGCTTTAAAAAAAATCCTTAGAGGAAGGATAGATGAGCAGATGGTCACTCTCAACAAGAGAGCCAGTTAACTTAGGAAGATGGAAGCTCAAATTCAGTGGTTAAAAGTAGAAGCAAATGAGTAACCAGAGAAAGGGGCTGCTGTGGCGAACTTCTCGACTGAAATTCTGTACTTCTTTATTTCATTTAGCACCACGTAAACACTGACCCAACAGAGATTTGGTTCACACAGTAAGACTAGTTTCCAAAAGCTTCCATATGGTTATCTGACATCCTGAGTTTTAACAGAACCCCACAACTTCAACATTCAAACATCTACATTTAAAAAGCATGCAGACCATAATTTTAAATATTTAAAAATAAATATTTAAAAACTTTTCCTTGAGCATTAAAGCAGATATGCCTCTAATTATTTCAGGTCTTATGTATTGTTAAACATATCGATCCACCTAATAAAATGAACAAATAAACAAAAAAACCCAAACAAAATAAAATCTCACTAAAAAACAAAAGACATCGCTCCTGAATTGAAAATTTCCTGCGCTACATTCAAGTCCAGAGTACGGCTAAGTGATGCATCTTTGACAATAGTAGCTTATATGAGGGAAACATAGATGTGCCAGTAAGTTCAGGGGTTGCAAGGACCATTTTTATAACATCCAACATCTGCAGATTTATTTCAAGCATTTCTCTAACAAGATGCTATTTAGGAAATTAACAAATGAAGTATGCTCAGTCAACACTATAAGCCAGCATTTGAACTTCAACTCAGTATGTCCATATACATTCATGTCTGCAAACCGTGTCTTAGCAAAGCTGGTGCAAAGGCAGAAATTAATTCTGTGCCTCTGTTTAGGGTCTTAGTCCTTCTTCTTCAACAAAGTACTGCTTTTATGCTAATAAAATCATAATACAGAGGGGGAACTCCATCACAAAACCTGCATTATATTCTCACATCATGACCAACCAGTAGAAATAAACTTTTTCATTTACCTACCAAACATTTTGTCTATCCAATAAAATGCTGACAAAATTGTTTGGCCTGGGAGCCCTTCCCATCTTTCAGCTATTTTTTGAAACTCTTACAATAAAATGTATAGTAAAAATACTTAGTTCTGATATAGCAGTACTAAGCTGTAAAAGCCCAGTGTGCTTTCACCTAGAAAAATAAATGTAGTTGTCTGTATTCCACAGATAGAGAAACAATGTACACAGAGATCAAATGCCATGTCAGAGCCATGAGTGGCACCCCAAAGACATGATCCCAGGTGTACAGAGCCTTTATTTCATTTTCAAACTACTTCCCAGGTTCCTTTTGGTCTGAACCTCCATTTTCACTGTAGGCAAAACGCACGCTGCCATCAGCATGCATTTAGCTGCTTAGGTAGAATCAGAGATGTGCCTGGTAGTGACACAGCCAAATCATTTCCAGAGGGAAAGAGAAAATATTGAAATGTTTGCAATGTGGGTTGAGGCTTTATTTCATTCCCTTTTTATTTTGGAGAGCCTGTTATGCCAGCTGCCCTGCAACATGTTCATTTCTGCAGTATCGTTCTCCGATTTTAGTCATTGCTATTTCTCATATTAAAAAAAAAGGCATTCAGCTACTATGATTCCTGCTTTGGAAGGACTCTTATTTCTCATTTCAGTCAGAGTACCCTTTCACGATATATTGGCTTCATCTTGTCCTTTGCAATCTCATGGACATGGCCTGCTCTCATGCCAATTCCAACAGTGCCCTTCCAACAATCCTCCAAGGATTCGCTCAGGGGCAGGAATGCAAGGATAACCACTGACAGGTTTTCCTGTGCTGGTCCTCAACCTCACCAAAGCAGTGATGGTGGGAACTGCTGGGAGAGCAGCTCCCAGGGGTCAGCAGTTCTTACATGACTGTCTCTGTCAGTAAAGAGTAGGCTCCCATTCACACTGTGGGCAAGGGTTAAACTTTCCAGTGGCTCCACTGACAGTTTTCTTATCCATCAGCACTCATTAGAGTTTGATATCTTTGGGCTGTCCAAACTGCAGTCCTTATAGAAGAGTATGCTGCTGCTGCTTTTATATTCTGAAGATGTTGTAAGGGCTGTATTTTGAATCTGTTCTCTCCTGACACACAGAATCATAGAATATCCTGAGCTGGAAGAGATCCACAAGGATTATTGAAATCCAGCTCCTGGCCCTGCATAGGACAGTCCCAAGAATCACACCATGTGTCTGAGATCATTGTCCAAATGCCTCTTGAACTCTGGTAGGCTTGGTGCTGTGACCACTGCCCTGGCCCAGTGCCCGACCACCCTCTGGGGGAAGACCCTTTTCCTAATATCTAGTCTAAAACTCTCCTAACACAGCTTCATATCATTCCCTAGGGTCCTGTCACTGGTCACCAAACAGAAAAGATCACTGTCTGTCCTTCCTCTTCCCCTCGTGAGGATGTTGAAGACCACAATAAGGTCTCCCCTCAGTCTCCCGTTCTCCTGGCTGAACGAACCAAGTGACCTCAGCCACTCCTTGCATGGCTTCCCCTCAGGCCCCTCATATGCAGTATTACACTTCCTATGAACCGACATAAGGTTTCTCAAATGAGCAACTCTAACAAAACATTTCTGTAAAATAGAAATACCAAATTCAGTACACCTGTAATAAGCAAAGGAACACTCCTTCCCTGTCCTGAGGCTACTGCCTCTTGCCACAGGTGAGCATTTTCCTGTTTTCTCTTTGGAGGATGCAGAGGGTGCAGGAGAAAAGCCGATTACTTGTTGATGGTGTTATTATTGTTAGCCTGGAATGCCATTACGCATTTGTCTGCATGACTCTTGATCTTGCATGACAAAACCAAAAAACAAAGGCAAAACTGAATCAGCAGATTAGTCAGCTTAATCTTGTGTAACTCAATGCTGCACTTCATTTTCAGTGCTGTTATTTTCAGCTGCCCTTTGAGATCGGTCTTTGAGCTTACTTATCACTCAGCCAAGCTGCTCACTCAGGACATTCAAGTAAATAAGATGGAAAACATATCACTCAGCAGAATATTTATGATGTTTTGATTTAATCTTTTTCATTTGGTACACACAGTGTTAAAACTGCAAGATCTTAATGTTATCAGAATGTCATTTATAACAAGAACACAATGAGTTCTCTTTTTGCTATCATATTAATATTGAAAGAATGCAAAAAGAACCTCCTGTTTAGGCCACTATTGTTAGTGCTAAAAGGCTTTTAAACTAATACTGTAATTTCTGAGACAGTTGCTTATGTTTTCATATCTTATTTTAAATACCAAATGAAGACAACTGCTCGGAGATGCCAGTATTAAAATTGAAATCAGCTGATCCTTGTATTGAAAACAGTCACAGCAGCAACACAAATTGTTGATGCAGCTCATGTAGTCCATAAACCACATTGGTACATACTGTCACCTAAAACCACAGAATTGCAATCAGCATGTTTCCTGAACCTGGATTTTGGCTTTCTGCATGTACAGCAATATGATATAGACAAGAACAGTTTCCTTTGGCTGGAAAATTACCTGACTGTTCTATCCCAACAACACAATCATTTCAAAGATTTGTTTGCAAATGTCAAAGCCAACACCCTTCTTTCTCAAGCAGAAACACTCTGCAGTTACCATATAAGTTTCCTTCAAGCAAATTAGCACCCATCATGTGTGACGTAGGTTTCAATGTTTAAAACAGGCTTTGCCTTTTCTGGTGAGTACATCACCCACTTATGTGATATTAAATGTGTAAACACACTACAGGTTAAAATATGTAGTTGTTACATTTTCTACAAGGCTCAGTCAGCTGTTGGGACCATCCTCTGAGAGGACACAGTTCCTGGAGGTGAAATGCCTCCTGACTAAACATTTCCCACTGAAGTACAAAGTGATGCTGCTGTATGTCCTTACATAAATGGTGTGGTTTTGTTTTTCAAAACAAAACTATGAGAGTTCCATTAACAAAAAAAGTTTACTGAGTTTTAGCACATGAGACACTCCAAAACCAAAAGCAAAACTCAGCCTGCTGAGATTCTTGTTGATTTGAAGCTTCTTTTATCCTCTAAGCCCAACATTCAACTCAAACAGCGGATGTTCAGAAATATTTGTGGATATTCTAGTACTTATGGCCATAAATTTATATAAGCCTTTCCCATTAATTTTGTCAGAAGTTATCTGAAAATAATATTATAAAAATGTAGCAACAGCAATTTACCATAGAGACATTTTCTCGGGGAATCTCAAACCAGTTTTATTGAGTAACAAATACCACCACTGTCTTATGTCGTACAGTGATCTCATACAATGAGTTAGGATCAGGAGGAGGATGGGAAGTAATGCTGACTGTTGTGTTTAGCTGAAATGGATAAATCTAACACCAAACCACAAATGTATTCAGGACAGCAGTATAGTAGAGAGACATAGCCTAAGGATATTTTCCTGATGAGTTTTAACACACCACTAGCTCTGCTGCTATTTGCTGCTGAGCTGGTGACACTCTCCATGTTGGTGAAGATGTTAAGGAGCGTAAAAAGAACAACTACGTAGTTTACTAACAAAAGCACGTGAATTTCAATGATTTTATGTTTTAATTAAACACTAATGTCTAATCTACACCATTTTTATCAGCAGTAATAGCCAAGATAGGAACCTTGCAAGCAAAGAAATGAGTGTTGTTGTAAACCCGTATTTGCAAAGTGGAATTATCTTGTTCATACTTGACAATCAAAAAACCCCAAATTTGACATGTGAGATCCTGGCATGACTATGCCTGTACTAATCAAAAGGAGTCATCTGCACAGTAGCCCTGTGCACAGTGATTTCCTTCTCCAGCTAACAACTCACTTCAGCGCCACACTGACAGGCTGCAAATGGCCCCAGAGGCAGCTCATCTGAGCATGCTTGACGGCAGTGTTTGGTGTACAGCCAGGGACTTGGGTCAAGCTTGTTTACAAAACCAAGCAGCAACCACACCTTTGTGGTTTGTATCTGTGATCTTGCTTCCTATGCAGCAGGGAAATGTGACCTCAGGGTGGTCCTGGGGCTGCTCTCTGTGGGCAGCATAAGCATATCACACAGGAGATCCACCACCAGCTTCAGCCCAGATGAGGTGTTGATATCCTGAAGAGCTGACTTTGCATGACTAAAGCTAGAGAGCCACAGGCTTCTCTATCTGGCTCCTTATCTATAGTGGAAAGATAATCTTGTTCTCTACCTCACCACTGTGTGGTTTCAACAGTTAATTGCATTGATGATTTGAAGAGCTGTGCAAGTGCCATGTAGCTCTTCACCTCTAGCACATATTGGTCATGCTGCAAAGTTTGCAATGATGACAATAGTCATCATCACCTGATGACTCCTGCTCTCAGCTCTTGTGAATGAACTGATGATATCAATCTAAATATAAGCTGTCTAGAGGTCTATAAAATGAAAATACTACAGTTGCTATTCAGTTTATTGCACAACACCAGTGCTAGTAGTTTGTACTGTCATTGCTATGTTCCTTAGCCTCTCCCTAAACATGGTAACTATCACCAATATTGCAGAATTATTATCAATTTGCTGTAATTAACTCTCCTGTTGGCAATCACGGTACAAAAAGCCAGGGAATTAAATGGATTTGTAGACTGAAACACTGGGTGGGATGGCAAGACAGCACAGGTTCCTTGACTGCAAGGCATCAGCAGTAAGGTGTGTGCTTTCCCATGCTGTTTGCATGATCCTCACCAGCACTAGCTTGTCCCAGGATGGACACAGAGATGCATTTCACTTCAGAATACCAAGAGGAGTGAGATAAGCATAACTTCACTGGCAAGCCTTCTATGAGAAAAAGGCTGCAGCACAGCCTCCCCCAGGATCTAGCACAGACTAAGATAGCGTTAGAGCAGACACTGTGAAATATAACTTTCACACTCTGATGATTATTCTTTGACATTTGTGAAATGAAACAGTGACTTCAGTTAGTGACAATTTATAGAGAGGTGCATCCTACAAATTTAGAATTGAATCTCAGATACTGATCGCAATTCAAAACAGGAGACATGGTAAAATCTGAAATCCACTAAACGTTATATGACATACTTACATAATTTGACTAGTTTAAACCTAAGCACATTTTTAGAGGCAGCTTGTATAATTTACTTTTATTAACATCATATTAATTAACTAATCTTGCTTCCAGTGAGTTTAAGTGAAGATAATCCAAGCCTAAAGAGGTCATGCCCATAGGGCTATTTTCTTTACCAACATTTGTATAGGGGCAGGGAAATGCTGCTTCCATGCAGCAAAACAGAGCACCATGTTCCTTTAAAGAGAGTTAAAAATTTCAGAACTGTTTAAAAAAAAAAAAAAAGTCAATTATGATTGGTAATTACTGATCTTCCTTTTTCTTTAGGCCTTGTGCTGTTCTCTTTATTTACCAGTATTCTTCTGTATTCATTCTACTTTTTATATATTTAATATTTTATTTCAAAAGATAATTTGTTTTCTGATGAGGTAACACAGAAGCTCAGCTGCTGTTACTCTCTACTCATCTTTCACTTCTGTCACTCTTCACTGCTCCAGTTTCCCTGGCCTGCCTACTCCCCTTCTTAGTTGAACATGCTCTTCAGTTCTGCACTTTAAATTTTCTCAAAATAATATTGCAGAAATGACATCTTTAGCAGTATGTCCAGCTTCTGTCTGTACTCCCTCGGGTAGGATTTGTTTGGGATAGCACATAAGGTTATTTTACAGTCCAGAGACTAGTGCTCAAGCTCAATAACTTCAGCCTGAAGAGGAACAGTTCAACCTTAACAGCGAGAGTACCCAATTAATTAAACCAGTTAGCCCATCAGTGCAATGGATTTATCCTCACTTGATATCTGCTAGAGAGGGATCAGGACTTTTCCTAATGTGAACACCATGTCTGTCATGCAGACCACAGGCCTGGCCCAGGAACAGCTGTGTGACAGCCCATGATTGATGTTCTGCAGGAAATTACAAGGGATGACCACAGAGACCCTGTTTGGCCCTCAGGCCATATCCCAGTCCCTCACCCATCTAGTCTCCATGCAGGCTGGGCATGCTGAAGCAGCTCTTTTGGATGCTACCAACTGCTCTTCCCCGGCCCCAGCCAGTTCTTCACTCTCCATAATGCTTTTGATGCCACCAGACATTTTTATCTTCTTAATCTCTCTTCCTCCTCCACTGCTCTTGCGAACACGATCCTCAACTGATTTTCTTCCTATCCCTCCAGTCCCTTATTCAGTGCTTCAGTTTTGTTTTTTTCCCAAATCCATTTTTCAGTGCAACTCCCACACAGTTCTTTTCTTGGCTTCCTCCTCCTCTTGCCTACTCTACCTTGCAGAGTCTCATGATGTTTAACAATCATCTGTACGAGCTCCGAGCCTTTGTGCCAGAAAGCTGGATCACGTGAAGCAGCAGCAGCAGCAATCACATGGCCATATGGAGGGCTTCTGCTAAGGCAATGAAATCAAAGAAACATGTTCAGGCAGGACCATTTCTCAGCAGTATTGGTCATATTTTTTCTGGCAGAACATACAAATCATTTTTTATGGGTATACACAAATCCTTTTTATGCTTACTCAGGCATTGCAGCCTTTAGTTGATACTGTCAACTATTTTTGAGTTGTACAGTCATTTTATTAGAATTACATACAAAACTATGTAAAAGCCTAAATGCCTTGTAATGCAGTAGGTCCTTATACAGAGAATATAAAAACTTTTGAAATGGATATAGCCGTATAATATTGCTCACTTTCAGTTGTTCAGTCTTGAGTATATTTCCCATTCCTGAACGGCTGAGCTTATGTGAAGAGAATCACAAACACAAAGAATAGGTAATCACATAGTATGGCTAAATAAATCACACAGATACAGCAGATGACCATAATTACTTGAGCCTCCTGAGACTTAGCCTTCTTTAGAAAGGAACATATGGGTCCCAAAACCTAAGCTTAAAAAAATATCATTAGCGCTGTCTGTCAGTTCCCTGAGTTACGCGACGCAATAATGGAAAAAAGGATATGTTAACTTATTCAGAAATAGTGCTTTGGAGGGGACTCAGGGCTGCAACCCCCGCGGTTCAGTTTGGGGCAGCGCTGCTGCTGCTGCTGCTGCTGCGACCCGGCCATCGCAGCAGAGACAGAGCCCTCGCTCTGGGAAGGCTCAGGTAATACATAATCGGCGACAGCAGCTTCTCTGAGACATAGGACTTCTTAAAAATTAACGAAGTATGAGGAGGGTAAAAACCTACACAGCCAGGCTGCGGAATGGGATGGCTCTGTCAGCGGGGGCTGCTCAACATCCCCGGCTTTACATCACCGGCGGATGGGGCTCCGACCGGCTGTGACTGACCTAAGAAAGGGGAAAAAGAAACAGCCCCTCTGGCTCGCCCCAGGGGTTCCGTGGACTGCGGGGCGGGCACACCGTCCCTCCCTGCTGCCACACGGCACGGGAAGCCCATTCCCCGGCTGGTGACAGCGCTAGGCCCCAGCATTCGGCGACCTTGCCTGCTTTCACCTAAAAGCCCTTTTTTTAATCGTAAGAAAACGGAAAAAGGCACATCTCGCGGCCCCCCCCGCCCTCACCGCGGGGCCGGGGGAGGGGAACGACGGCCGCGCCTGCGCGGAGCCGCTTCCTCGTTGTCCCCCGGCCGCCGCGGCGGCGCGCGGCGCGTGCCCGCGAGCGTTGCCCGTCGGCGGAGCCGCGCCCGCCCCGGAGCCGCCCAGCCCGGCCCGGCCCCGCCTCTCCCCGGCCGGGGGGCGCAGCCCGAGCCCGCACAAGTCAGTGCTCCACTCGGGCGGGAGCTGCGGCCGAGGCCGGGGGGGGGCGTGGGGGAACTCGACGCGGGTGGGGAAAGGGGCTGAGCTCGGCGCGGTCGCCGCTCCCCTCTCCCGCCGCCCTCCCCGCAGCGCCGCGGCGGGGCCGGGCCGGGCTGGGCGCTGAGGGGCGGCGGGAGCGCTCCCCACCGGCGGGGCCGAGCGAGGGGCGCCGTGCGGGGGCGTCTCCCCCTTCACCTCCTGCCCGGAGGAGGAGGGGGCGGCCGGGGAGCGGCTGGATGCAGCGGGCGAAGCCTCAGCCTCCCTCTGCGGCTCCGCTGCTTTGATGCTGCGGGTCTCTGCTGGCTGTTAACATCTTCTTCCCTCTGCTTTTTTTTTTTTTTCGTTTTCTTCCCGCCCCCCACCCTCACCCCCCACCCCCCGAAACTTGGCTTCTCCTCGCTCCGGATCTGTGTGCTCGGCTCCTCCTGGGCTTTACCGGTGGGGCAGGATCATGCCGGACCAGATCACCGTGTCGGAGTTCATCGCCGAGACCACAGAGGATTACAACTCCCCGACCACCTCCAGCTTCACCACCCGGCTGCAGAACTGCAGGAACACGGTCACGCTGCTGGAAGAGGTAAATCAAACACACCTACACCCCACATCCCCTTTTTATTTTCCTTTTTCCTTTCTTTTTTTCTTCCCCCCCCTCTGTCTTTGAGAGAGCATCAGGGACGGGGCAGCACCACCCGCCCAAATCCACGGGAGCCAGAGGCGTTGGTATGCATGTAATCTGGTCTTTTAATTGTGGGACTTTGCTCTTGTGTTGAGCTAGTTACAGAAAGCTTTCCTGCCCTGGCGTCTCAAAGATTAGTGCGTAAAGCAGTTGTCTGAACTTAAATATTACTGTGGTACTACTTGGTGTTTTCAGTGTTGTCAGTTGTTGCAGTAGTAAAAAATGCATGAATGTTGGTATTTTTAGAGGGAAGATAAGGGATGAGTTTTGTTTGGGAGCGTTTTTAGAGGTTTTCCCCGGTCACTCGTTACATCAACTCAGCGCAGAACTCTGACTGCAGAAGTCTGCCAAGGGAGACTTGGTTTAAGAAATGAGGTAAGGATGAAGGGATGAATGTGGAGTGAGGGAAACAATATGAAAACAAAATTGGTGGAAGGAGAGGAGCAAAATAATGCAGAAGAAGTGATTACATAGTCTCAGCCTCTCAACCTTGAAGCCTCAGTGTTGGGGTTTTTTCATGCTTGTTATGAGCATTATTTAAACGTTCACTCTGCTTTGCTGTCAAGAAATAGGAGTGTGAAAATGGATAAACTTCCAGAGCTGGTTTCTAAGGGATATCAGTCTCCTGCTTCCTATTTGAGTCTTCAGTGTGATTTCCTATGGACTAGGTCAGCAGTTATGAGGAAATGTCTTCCCAATGACTTTAAAGAAGACAGTGCTCTTGCCCTGTGCTTGCTTGAAGGTACAAGCATAATGACACTGGAAGAAGTGTTTTTTGCTGTTATTGCATAGGTTGCAGTTAATTGTTTCTTTGAATTATACACTTAGTTCATCAAGTATTTGTCAATTCTTCAGAAGCCAGCATGTATCTAGGAGATGGATTTAACAAGTCTTAGTTTTGCTGAATGTGCTGGCATGAGCAAAACATTTGGTATGCAAGGAAAGAGTATTAATTATTTAATTATGGTGGTCCCCTGATAATCTTGGGTATAGAAAATATAGTTCCATAGGATTAAGATCAGTTAAAGTTGCCTTAGTAGAAAAAAATGTCTATGTTCAAAATTGTAACAGTGCTATTGTTTACATCAACTGACTAGAGTGATTGTAAATTCACATTTAAAATAATATATTTTATTTTTATTATGTAACCTAGATTAACTTCTGCAGCTTTTCCATAACTGTAGCTGTTTCGTTCTTCTTTTCCTCTTGTAACTAAGTCATGGTTGCTTATAGATTTGTCAGAAATCAACCTGTTAGGTTTGTGTTTGAAAGTATTGCTGCCCCCTGGTCTTAACTATGTGGAATAGGTATAGCCATTGATACGCTTATTAGTACAGTTGACAGAATGTGCAGAGTTAAGTAAAAATATATATTTTGTCATTACTGGTGACTCCCAGGGTAAGAATACAGCGTAATGCTTTCATGATTTCAGAGATACTTCGGAACAGGCTGAATGTGGTAATGCCTGTCCAAAGAAAACCAAAATACAGAAGATAAATACACAATGTTCTGCACTACTTGTGTGGATTGTGCGTATTTTCAAAGTTTTTATGTCTGATTTGACAGCAATAAATCAGAAGAATAAAGAATAGCGAGTGCTTCTGGTGCTTCCATGGCTATTTCTTTAATTTCTTTTGTTTGTATAACTGTTTTATATGCTCCGTTTAAGTTGTTTGCAGTTTAGACTGATTCTGGGCTTGTCTTCTGTAATTGTTTTTATTATCTGTAAATATAAAAAAGCTTTATTTGATGGGAAACAAGATATAAATAAGCTCTACTGTTATATGTGCAAAAAATCTGCAACTCTCTCTAAATTTGTGCTTATTAATTTGCATGGAGAAATACAGATGGTCAGGATGTGGCAGGCAAAGTGCTCCTTTAGAGCTTTTGTGTATGCAAGCTACAATTACAATGAAGACACAGTTTTACTGCTGCTGCTTTCAGGCTGGGCTGGTTTCTATACACCTGCTTACCTAAGGCAGTGCCTCCTGTGAAACAGGGGCTGGAAAATGAGTGGTTGAAGTGGGTGTTCTGTAGCTCCTGCTGCTGCTGCTGTTGTCCATGCATCATGGATGACTGACGAGCTCTTCAGCCAGCTCCTGAACTTCAATTCTGAGCGTTCTGTGCTAAGGCAAAGGGGATGATTCCACCCTTGCAGCTGTTTGATTTTTAACTGAGTGTTGCATCTGGGTTGGAGCTCTCACTGGGCTTTTGCAGGCAGTGTCAGGCTCTGTGCTGTTGTGGCGCTGCTGCCTGAAGTATCTTTGGTCATTATTTTAGAGCTAATTTAATTCAACACAACCTGCACCTACATCAGTGACTATAAGCTAGTTTGTGGATAAACTAATTAGTTTCTTTATTCTAAACAAGATTGCAAATGGGAACTAGTTTCTGAACAGAAATGGCAGGGGAATTAAACAGATTTAACAGAAATTAGATATGTTTTCCAACCTCTCAGTTTGGTGTGATTACTACCATAGCTCAGATCAATGGTTAGATCAGAACAACCTTTTCATGAACTACTTTGACATAAAAGAAATAGGTGGTTTTGTGTATGTATGTGCCTCTATCTAGTTCCCTGAAGTTATTACAAAATTGTGGACTTACTCTTCCTTAATCACAATTAACAAGTTTTCTGAAATAATAAAATAGGCGATGGACTCATTCACTGATTCTTCTCGCTTGCCCATCAGTAGAAGGGCAGTCTGTTTAGCTGCCTGAATTCCTGTATATTATCTCCTAGTTAGGATTTTTTTTTTCCTGTTATAATTAAAATTCTTTTCAGAGGAGATTTTGGATCCTGTTAGATGCAATTCTGGGACAAGTTTCAGCTGACAGGCTTACATGTTTTCAGCAGACATGTTTACTGATTCTGATGACTTTGTATTTGATCAGTTTTCAGTGGAAAGCACAACAAAATACAAAGGCTAACTTTATTTAAATCTATTGTAATAGTATCAAAGGTAGTAAGAACATGCTACTATGTAGCAGTTTATTGAATAGGAAGGTTTCATGCTACATTGTTTAAAATACTGAAACTTCCAAAAATTTGCAAGTTTTTTTCCTTTTAAGAGGCAAAGCTAAAGTTTTTGTGATCCAGTCACAGCAGATCAAAAAAAAAAAAAATACCCTACCATCTTTGTAGCCAGGCTTAGGCATCTTATATAGTAGTTACCTCAAACTGCAAGATTTTTTTTTTCATTATGATATTTTTATTTTTAAAGCAGGAGTGTTATGTGATTGCCTCAAGTAAACACAAATTTTAAGGTTCATTCTGTTGCTAAAATAATGAGACTGTTTTTCAAAGTCGTAGAGGAAGAAACAAACCATTACAATGTAGTCAAAGTCTGATTTGAGAGAATTGCAATCTCTATTTCTTTCTGTTGATTCCTTCCTCATAATGTTAAGTTCTTGCAAAAAAAAAAAAAAAAGACATTTTTAATATATTTCTACAAGCAATTGGGAAAAGTTTTATATGATGGAATACTTTTTCTCTTTAGAGAGGCTGAGAGAGTTGGAGTTGTTCAGGCTGGAGAAGAGAAGGCTCCAGGGAAACCTTAGAGCAGCCTCCCGGTGCCTTAAGGGGGTTACAAGAGAGCTGGAGAGGGACATTTTACAAGGGCATGGAGTGATAGGACAAGGGGGATTGACTTAAAACTGAATTAGATACAGGGAAGAAATTCTTTACTCTGAGAGGGATGATACAATGGAAAAGGTTGCCCAGAGAGGTTGTGGATGCCCATCCCTGGAAGTGTTCAAGGCCAAGTTGGATGGGGCCTTGAACAACCTGGTCTAGAGGAAGGTATCCCTACCCATGGCAGGGGGCCTGGAATAAGATGAACTTTAGGGTCTC